TTCCGTTTACGGCACTTTGGAGGGGTTGCCTGGGTGGTGTCAAATTTGCAGTGGGCCAACTCCCTCACATGGTCCATTTCACACGGGTGGTTACTTTGATGACCGTCATCAAACTGACCAGTGCTCCATTTACCATGTGCTGGAATTTTCCGTTACTGTCACCAAAGTGCTCAATTCACATACATATATATATATATGACTTATCGGGTTCACGTGACTCGCGAGCTTCGGTAGTGACAGCTAGAAGAGGTGCTTGATCTGCGTAACGAACCTACCTGCTCTACTACAATTTTTTTCCCTCCTTGGGCCTTGGTTCGGCTGATGTCGGCAGAGAGCGACCATGCGATCGAGCGGCAATTTTCAACTTTCCATCAATTTGAAATATAAATATCAATTTTTCATTCGAAAAAGACAGCAGTATTAGGAAATATTTTTTTTACTGGCTTTCATGACGAAGAATCGCTCTTTCCGTTCTTTTCCCTTTTCCCCCTTTTCCTTTTCATATTTTATTTGTAGCCGCCGCTTCCAAAACCAATAAAAACGTCATGGAAACGAAACTTTCAAATTTGCAATCTTTGACTCATTTTCCCGCGTTTTCTTCTTGTCAGCTGCATTACTCCTCTTTTCCTTTTCTTAAGGGTTATCCCCACTTCGGTTGATTTCAGCGGAGGAGAATGTCCAAGTCATAAAGGCCCATCACCTGATACAATGGGTTTTCGTCTACCCTTTGTTATGCGCTAATAGAGCACGACTTGCTCTCAGAGCAGAAGTTGCCCAGCCCTGGTTTAAACCCTTGATCATGTAAGGACTTGACTAGCACTCTCTGGTTTTCGTTGATACCGTAGATTTCTGACAGTTTCACGTTTATCTCAATGTTTGCATTCACAACTGCCATAATTTACACCGTTATTAACAGAAATTAACCCGACTCTAGTGTTTGGAACCCTCATCACTGTTTAATATCTCATATAAGCATTATAATTAAGCAACATCGATCGAACGTCTCAATTTTCTGATCTGATTATAACTGAATTTTTGACGAGGCCATATGAAAATTGGAGCTTCAAAAGTTTATTTTAACATATATCCGAAAATCTGAGTAAGAGTCGCCGAAATACATTCTATGGTTTTATTCAGATTCCCGAGTGACTTCTACTTGTAACGTCCATTCGTCTTATATTATGAAGTAATCAAGCCATTCTCTTATGAATTTTACAGAATGTTCAGTGGGAAAACAGCCTATGACCTCTCACGCAGCAAAGCTTTGATAAACAACTTGATGCAGCGTTTTGTCACAAATTCAATTTCACAAAAACCGGAGGATATTTCTAGCCCAGAAATATCCCATCCCGATACCAGTAACTTTACCCAAACAAGTCTTGTCTCAAACATCAGTCAAATTTCGATTGAGTCAACCAAGTCTACTGAACCACTCTGCGAACTCAATCACGAGCCGACTACCGAAGACTCTATCCCCCTTAACAAATCCAAAAACCCAATCTGGGGTGAGATATGGCCACAGCCAAGGACCATTCTTGATCTTTCCAACCATTCTGCTTCGTTCATCGCTGGAAAAGAACTATTCATTTCAATAATCCAAGGCGGCGAGTCGATTCATGACATTTTAGATGTCTGGGAGGTCTCTCGAGCTCACTTACTGGAGCTAGGTCACGATGTGAAGGTTGGCGAGGTTCAGCCCGGGTCAGGCCGTTGTATGGGAGATAACAGAATTGAGTGTATCGTAAACAAGAAACTATTCAATGTAGCAGAGGGCTACCAGCTCCATATATCCCAAAGCTCCATAAAAGTAAGCGCTGGCAGTTTGCCAGGCCTTCATTATGCAGTCTGCACTCTTGTGCAAATTCTACGCCTCAGCAAGAATATCGAAAGTCCAGACATTTGTGAGATACAGCCAGTGCTTATTAAAGACGAACCACGCTTCAAACATAGAGGAATTCTCTTCGACATCTCCCCTAGGGGACGAACTCCAACATTGGAATACCTCCTGTACACGATAGATCTTTGGTCTTCATTTAAAATCTCTCATTTACATCTTTACTCGAGGCTCAATCCTAGTTGCGACTGGCAATTATGCTATTCTAGACTGGAGATGGTAACATTGGATCGTTACTGCAGAGATCGTCATATAGATATGATCCCGGCCCTCGACGTAGACCAGAATATTAGCCAACGTCACCTTAATCAAATGTGGCCAGTCTTCCAGGAGGTACTAGCAACATTTCCCAGTTTAGGATATGTCCACGTCGGTCCACGACTGGCGAGTCTGTTAGTGCAAGCAGATAACTTAGATTACAGCCTCAGCATTAATGAAACTGTTGAAACTGACATGTCAGAGGTATTCAAATCTTACTCATGTCTCCAAGAGTTGTGGCATATCTTGGACCTCAACTCCGATACAACACTTCTACTCTGTTCGAATGGATTACATTCAAAATCGGAATTTAAAAGTATTCCCAGTAATGTAATTCTTGTGGAATATGGATTTCAAGCTGATTACGATTTTTCCGAGTGGACAGAAGCGTTCAAGATAGCCGGAGGCAATGTTCTTCCCAGCTCAGGCACCGCTAGTTACAATTCTCTTGCTGGATGCCCAGCATCTACCTTTGCTAATACCAGAAATGCAATTAAAACGGCATTGGAACAAAACTCTATTGGAGTCGTTGTCGCTCATTGGTCGGGCAGTCATCATCTTACTCCTCATCCTTTCTCATGGCTGGGGTATTTGGTTGGAGCTGGATTGACGTGGAATCCCAACTCTGATGTCGAGCTAGGTCTTAATGACACTTTCGATGCTGAAGTTAGTACAGATGGGAAGTATCAAACCTTTCTAACTAATATATTGAACATTCACGTCTTCCATGATATCGAAAATAAAGTGGGAAATGCAATTTTAGAACTCGGCCGATTGGATACGCTAGTATTAACGCTGTCGAAGAATCAAGACTGCAATGATCTTCGGCAAATTCCTGATAACAGAGGATCTACTCTTTATAGACTTTTAACTGATCCTGATAATGTGAATTTAGAATTTTTGAGTGCTGATCTTTTCGCTAGAATGACAAAGCAGATTAAACGTGTAACTCATGGACTTTATGAAGCTAATGTGACATCAAAGTTTGGATCAATGGAGATTCAAGAATTACAGCTTACAGCTGATCTTATGCTAACTGCTTGTAAGATTGGTAGAACTCTCATTGGAGTTGGATTGAATCCTAATAGCAACATGGGACTTGCAGTCATTAACTTAGGAATCAATAATCTACCCCCGACATTCAGGACTGATATTGCTAACAAAATGCTGGCGCTCATTGAGCAATACAAGGGTGCCTGGTTGCAGAGACATCTGCCTCAAGGGCTGCAGAGCTCGTTGTTAGTTCTAAATAGTGCCCTATATCGATTTGTACCCGCGCCGTAATTTTTTTTAATCCAACAGGTTAAGCTAATATAGTTTATATTTGCGTTCATCACATAATTGTAAATTTCAATACAGAAAGACACATTTATGATAAATAATATAGTTGCTTTCTATTCTTTACGATTCTATTGCTGGGAATCAGTATTACATACTTTTCAGTTCCGAACACTTGAAAATCAGAATGGAATAGTTATTTTTAGGCCTAGCAGTGGGAAACCGATCATCCCTCCCCACATGCAAGATTGATATAAGAATGATGTGAGGAAGGGTGGGAAGGGTGATATGTTTTCCCCGGCGTGGCTATAACCAAATTTTTCCAAACGCAGGCCCTGGGAACTGCAGTTTTCTGAACATGTAGCGTGGGGGTGCGAACGTCGCAATGATCTTTGATCTGAATAATTCTAGAGATAATTCACAGAAAAAGGTATTAATTTTTAATTCTCAAAAAATTTAGCAATTCACGAAAGTTCGCGCTTACAGCAGAGGATTCCGCTGAAAACAGGGAGTAAATAAAACAATGAATAGCAATAATTCTCATGTTCTGGTTTTTTTTGTTAATTTCTTATATAAAAAAATATATTTTTCCGTCCTGCTTCTCACGACTTCTCGTCTGGAAATTGGTACTTCAAGAACTTGGAAATGACTACGGAGAAATACTGTCTGGGCTGTTGGAATGGAGTTTTTTCACTCGTGTGGTTGGTCAACAGTCCGGAAATATACTATTACACGTTTTCCTGCTATTTTGAATTGGTTTACGGTTTTAAACAAAATTCCACCTGTGCCTCACAGCTGCATAGTGGGGACGACAAGAAGCTGAGGGGAAGGTGAGAGTGACCGCCGCTCTATGGCTCCCCTGCTTTTGGCTTTGCAATGCCTACGTGTATTATACCTCACCTAGGGGCCGGAACTTTAGGGCCATGAAAACAATTTTATGTCATAGCGGCCGGTAAAACGCGTTTCTAACCTCGCTTCGCTCGGATAAAAACGCGTTTTCGGCTACAATGACATAAAATACCATCATAGCCACGGCGGAAAAAGTGATTCTGACTCATGCGCGTTATATTCTTCGTCTCCCACTCGGACTATAAAGTCGCATTCGTCAGATTCCCTTTTTCTGTCCTAGGCGTGAAATGTACTATTAAATTTTCACATCGTACAGCGGTCCCATTATATCTACTTTTCCAATGGCATTAATTAGCCCCAATTTGGCGTACACTTCGCAGTTTATAATTTATAACATTGTTGTAGAGATATAGAGATAACATAATCCAATCTGTTAAAAAAAATACATATGATAATTAATGTAACATTGTGAAGTAAGTGAGGTAGGAAAGTTGAAATTCAACCGCACTTCTCAGCGTCAATATGATCTGGCAATGTTATAGGGGGAATTGTTCAATAAAATTTTTGCCAACCGCATCCCTCTTCTGATACTTTTATAAAGTTCAGAATAGGCCGAGGAGAGGTGCCCTAAAGATGCGGGCCATGACACTTTCTCAATTGAAAAGAAAAAAGTTTGAATTGACCGGCCAACCAAAGTAAACGTGTATGTATGTACGTGGAAGAGATTATAGGGGAGATTGCTAACGTCAATGGCGAACCTTCAACCGCGAAATTGTCTGGCCGCCCGAGCCGAACTAATTTTGCGGGTGTACCTGTGAATCAAACAGGTCGCGAGGGCAAGAGTGTCGCTAATTTTCGGAGGGCGTGGGTACAGATAAGGCAGAGCGCGAGCCCGAGAGTGTCGATAATTCGGAAAGATCAGCAAACGCGAGAGTGTCGATAATTCCAGGAAATCGTGACGAAAGAAAACATCCCATATAGAGCGGAGTGGGAGTATGATGGAGAAACAATCAGCAGTATGTAATTAGCCGCAAATTATCAATAATTACAAAAACGAACTCTTACAATCGATTGTAAATCGTTCGCAGGTGATTGTAAAAAAGGTCATAATGTTTAAGAGTAGATAGTTTTTTTATAAAAAATAAAAAACTTATGACCCATGTAGTTAGCCGCATTTTTTTTTCTAAT